TGCTCTGTCCCGTGTGGCTGTTAAAAAGGCGCTGGTCTCTGTTTTCTAGCCCGGAATCGTGGCTGCCGTGGTGGCACGGGGTGGTTTTTGGTTTCTGCGGCTGGTCCCGGGGAATGGGAGGAGCAGGGAGCAGAAAAAGTGGTGCTGGATGGGGAAAGGGGATCCCACGGCATGTGGGGTGTGGGTTGTGTCACCAAAACTTGGGGCTGCTTCTCCTTTTGCATGGGTACTTGATTTATTCCTGCTTCTGGGGGAGGAGGAGACTTGTGGGCCTTTAGGTTCGGCCTTTCTGCTGACACAAAGTTGATTTCTCTGCTTTTACTCACTTGTGTAAAGCACATTTTTCCCCCACTCTGTGTTCTTGCACGCTCAGGGGTTGCATAAACCAGATACATTCAGCAGAGCAAAGGGGAACTTCAGATCTTATTCTTGCCTTTGAAGGAGGTTTTTCTTGTGGAAAAAAAAAGTAATTAACAGGTATCAACACGTCCCACATTGGTGGTGTTGTGTCTGCCGTGTGGGTTTTATGGACGCTCATTACTGTGGAACTGGAATTGCTCACTGTTCTGTGACCTTCAGTCCCACATGGACAGCACACCCTCGTTTTTGGGGGATTGCCTTTTTCCTCTGGGCCCTGAGCTGCCTTGGGCAAGCTCAGGGGGCAGGATTGTGCTGTTTGAATTCCTCCTGGCACTGGGGTGAAGGAGCTGGGAGCAATGCCCTGAGCTCCGGGCGCTGCAGGGTTTGTCAGCCACCCTGCAGGGCTTGGGATGGAGTTTGTTCGTGCAGGGCTGGGCTGGCCTGGCACCTCTGTGTGTGTGTGCCTGCACTAAATGCACTCTCCGGGGTTCCCTCATCCTGCTGGGATCCCTGTGATGCTCCGGATTTATTTAGGGAGCCGAGCTGCAGGTGGGACAGGAGCCTTGTGCCTGTCTCCTGATGGGGCTCTTGGGACTTATGGAGAGCTGGCATGAGCACAGGCTCCCAGCCCAGGTAAAGAAGGACAAGAAATGGAAATAAAAGGAAAAGAGCCTTTTATTGCTTTTATTGCTCAATCTGAGAGCCAGCAGAGCCCACAGCCTTTGTGGAGCAGCCAGGCCTTGTAACCTCACCCAGGAGCCACCAGCCCATAGCCAAAGATCCTTAAGCAGATTGTGATAATTCCATTTATTTCCTAGGGCTTTCCCCCCTCTCCCCCCAAGTGGCCACTTGGTCAAGGAGGTTGTGGCTCCCAAATGTTTGAAGTATTTGGCTGTGAGGGAAGGCCAGGCAGGGGATGAACGGGGCACCAGGGCAGTGCTGGGTGTGCAGGGCTCACCTCGGATGCTGCCGAGGACAAACTCCCTGATCTCCCACCTGGGAACTGGGAAATGCAGGGAGCAGTCCAGAGGGGAAATCATCCCTTTGGTTTCCCTTCTTTTAAAGGAGCAGTAGCCTTGCTGCTGTAAAATAATGGTGGGAGATCATCCAGGATGTTCTTGCCAATAGAATTCTGCCTGTGCAGTTTCTGGGATTAGCAATGGCTTTGTCTGGGGGAAATATTTTTAATTTCTTTGTTCCATTCCCTCAAATAATTTTCCTTGGATGTTGTAACACAACAAACTGGAGCTCTGAGAAGGCACAGTCAGTCAAGCACACAGATCATATTTTACCCTGGCTTTTGTTTGTGTCTGAAGCAAAATGTTCCCTCTGAGGAGCCCAGCAGATATTTCAGTCCAAAACTGCTTTTGATTTTTCCTCCAGGTGATGATATTTTACTAAAATGATGTATAAATTTGCATATTTTCTACTTATTGTGCTGCCTTAATCTAATATTTTTATAGCAATGTTCACAATTTTACACGAGATTGACTTCAGTGAGGGAGTTAACAACTGGAAGAGTTTTAGAGGGAAAATGAAGTTAAATTAATTTCCTTTATTTTTTTTCCAGCTATGCTTGCATTTAGAAGAGCTTTTGGACACAGATCTGACTCCAACTCAGATAATTTATTGTTTATCTATCAGATCTTTTGTATTTTTTACCTATCATTACCCTTTTAGCAGG